TGGAACACATTTCAAGGACAGCCTCTGCTCCTAAGCCTCCTGTATCAATTTCCTACTGAACAAAAGGGGGTAAACATTCAATTAAATTCCATTATTTATTTGTTAGGTACCCACTACTATCAGGCACTCTACCAAGCACCAGGCTATAAAGACAAAACTGAAATAGTTGCTGCCCTCAAGAAGCTTACATTCTACTGGAAGAAACAATTTGTCCACAATTAAAAATACAATATATAGAAAATAAATGCAATTAGGGCCCAACTGGTGGGAATAATGAATTCCATTAAGGGTGCATATAATTCAATTCACAATATCTGAAATTACAATTATATGTAAAATATGACAATTAGCGTGATCTGTTTTTCTTTTTCACAACTACAACTCAAGTAATTGCCTGGTGCTGCTTCTCTTTTTTCTTTTGTTTTTATTCTAGTGACCAAGGGTGGGGGCACATGCCTGCAAACCATCTGGGCCTCGATCCCACCTGGCCTTGTTTCTTGGATCTGTGCCCCAAGCAGAAGAGGACTGGCTTTGCAGCCTTTTTCAAGCCTTCCCTTCACTACTAGGATTAGAACTTTAAAAGCCTGAAGAACTCTGACAAATGAAATGACCAACTATGTCTCCAGGGTACCTATGATGAACCACGTTACCAACTTCGTGATATTCTCTCAATGTGCAAAGAGACATTAAGTTTTTGTACATGACAACTGTGTGGATTTGCTTTGCTTGGCTCTGCTTACTGGATACAAGAGGTTTGAGTTTTCTTTCTCTTTTTCTGCCTTAATGAAGATGAGGAGAGTTAGCGTCCAGTGGTTAGCAACAGTGATGCCAAAAAATAGGGCCACAGATTATACAAATACAAAGCAAAGTTCAGAAGGAAGCAAAGACAAAAAGAAAAGCAAAAAACAGCCAGCCCCCGCCACCAAAGAGTTCACATTCTACTGAGGGAGAAAACATGCAAACAATTATCTTACTAAGATAATAAATATGCACAGTATAAATTGGAAATTATCTCAGAAGGAAGGAATTAGAATTAGGAGGGATGGCAAAAGGCTTCCTAAAGAAGGGAAGATTTTAGCTAATAATCTGAAGAAAGCTAAAAAAAAGCAGGAGAAGATATGAGGATGGAGAGATCTCAACATGGCAGACAACTAGTGAAAATGCACAAAATTTGAAGTTCAATCAGCTTGTTAGAGAAAAAGCAATAGGCAAGGGTCACTGAATTGCAGGGTACATGGACAGGAGTAAAGTGTGAAAGATTCAGTCACACCTATGCTTTGAGAAGACCCAAATGAACAGTTTAGATCAAGAGTACAGGAGAGAGATTTGAAGCAAAGTGACTAGACTAAGGCTACTTAATTAGTCTAGACAAGTGATGTCAAACTCAAAGAGAAACTGATCCCTACAGACAGCATATCGATTAAGGAAGAGAAATTAACATTATGTAATACTGTATTTTTATTTATTTTGTTAAATATTTCCCAATTATATTTTAATCTGGTTCAGACTATACTTCCAAGTCCACAAACCAAGTTTGACACCTTTGGACTAAGCTTGAGGTGATAACGGCCTGACCAGAATGGTTACAGTGTCAGGAGAGAAAAGAGGGTATCTATGAGAGATAAGTGACATTCTCAGAGTCACAGATAGCTAGTGAGTGTCCGAGGCTGGATATGAACTCAGGCTTTCCTTACTCTATCTGCTGGCAACTGATCGGCTTCTGAGGGTGAAAGGGAATGAGGAATCAAGGATGTCAGCTAGCTTTCAAAGCTGGGTGCTGCCCTCAATAGTAACAGGGAAGTGAGGAAGAGTTTGGAGAGGAAAAGATAAGGGCCAGTTTTATACATCCTGAATTTAAGGCATCTATCTACAGGACATCTAGGTCAAGATGTGAGACTGGAAGTCAGCAGACAGGTTAGGACTGCATAGATGTGAATCATTTACATATCTAATGACTGAATTCATGGCATCTAATGAGATCATCAAGAGAAATAGTATGGAGGAAGAAGAGAAGAGAGACTATGACAGAGCCTTAAGCAAGGGTGCTGGAGGGGGATACCAACAGTTAGTGCACATGACATGGCGTAGTATCTAGAAATTATTATCAACTTTTTTCTTAATTTTTAAAGGTTTTACCATGAGACTATCAATTTAATTAATTCAGTAATACATGTAAGCAATTCAAAAACCTTAAAGCATTATGTAATTGTAAGCAATTATCATTATTTTCAGTCATATTTTTAATTTTTATTTCAAGTTCCAGATTTTCTCCTTCTACCCCTCACCCACTAATTGAGAAGGTAAGAAATATGATATCCATTATACATACGAAGTCAGATAAAATATTTCATATTTATACATTAATTAAAGAAAGAAAAAGAAAGTAAACAAAAGTATCCTTCTATCTGAACTCAGAATTCGTTGAGTTCTCTATAGCATTTCTCATCATGAACCCACTGAATTTGTCATGGATAACTGTACTGATCAGAGGACCTACGCCTTTCACAGATAACTGTCGTTACGATATTGCTGTCACTGGTTACAATGTTCTCCTTTTTTCATTGCTGATCAGTTGTTTCAGTCACATATGATTCTTTGTGACGCCATCTGGGATTTTCTTGGCAAAGATACTGGAGTGGTTTCCCATCTCCTTCTGCACCTCATTTTAACAGATGAGGAACTGAGTCAAACAGGGTGAAGTGACTTGCTCAGGGTCACACAATTAATAAGTGTCTGAGGACAGATCCAAACTCATGAAGAGAAGTCTTCCTGATTCCAAGCCCAGTACTCTCTCTACTACACCACCTAGCTGCTCTCCTAGTTCTCTTTAATTCACTTTGGATCAGTTCATTTAAGTTTCTGCAGGTTTTTCTGAAAGCATCCCCCTTTAACATTTCTTAGAGCCCAATAGTATTTCATCACGATCATAAACCACAATGTGTTCAGCCACTCCCCAGTTGAGGGGCAATTCCTCAGTTTCCAATTCTTTCTCAAGACTGAGAGTTGTTATAAATATTTTTGTATAATTTCCCTTTCTTTTTGATCTCTTTGGGATACAGACCTAGTAGCAGTATTGCTAGGTGAAAGGGTATGCACAGTTTTATGGCCTCTTGGGCATCATTCCAAGTTGTTCTACATACTGGATGTTCAAAAGTGCATTAGTGTTCTGACCAACCATATTTATTTGTTAAGCTCAGCCTGTTCTATGGCTAGGTGTGTCCCAAAATACGCATCACAGATTTTTAAACCTAATTGGTCTTACTGCTTAGTAAGTTTCACTACAGTATAGTAAATCTTTGCCTACTGAAACCTTACTCATTCTTTAAGACTCAGCTCAAATGTCACCTGCTCCACAAAGTCTTCACTGATGACAGGGGCTCAGAAGACTGAAGAGCTGAAAGGTGCCTTAGTGATCATCTAGTTCAGTCCAAGATGCAAATCCAGACCCTGTGACAGCTAGAAATCAGCTCTCTTTCCTCCAAACTCAGGTAAATGTAAGCTATTTGAAAGCAAAGGCTGTTTGGGTTTTGTTTTTATGTCTCTAATGCTTAGCAACAAGCCCTGCACATAGTAGGTACTTCATAAATTTGTGTTAAAATGAATTATGATAGTTTCTTTGTACTACAACTATTCACTGCCTAGAATGCAATAACCTGCATCTATAGCTTACTCCCCCTACTAATGTATCTCCTTGAGGGTTGGGACCAAGTCCTGTGTCCCATTCAACACAAAGTCTCACAAAAGAAGTCCTGATGTTATTAAATAGAGTGAAGTAAAGTGACTTTAACCAGAGATAAAAGCAGTCCCATAAGTCTATCACAGGAACAACTGTATATGAACAAATGTATATGAAACTAAACAGAGTCCAGACTTGAAGAGACTTCTCTCAAGAGTATCATCTGAGCAAATGACACATATCTACCTTTGGGATTAGTCTTTTAAAAAGCTTTAGGGTGCGACTTACCCAGATTAGATTCATCCAGCCCAGCTTTCAAACTCCTCCCAGCTCCTATTAAAAAAAAAATTCATAAGCTTAACTGGTTTTACAGGAAATAACTACAAAATACTCATTTTCAAAATATTCATTTTTCCTTTGAAGAACAAAGTCAGCTACATCATGACCCCCAGGACCCTTACAATGACCACACACAACAGCAAAGTGAAATTGGGAGGCTAGGTTAAAGAGGACAAAATTTCAAGAACTTGAAAGGGGACAAGTTGTCCAAATTCCTGACTAACCCACTGAGATCTTAGGATCTGAAAGCTCACTCC